ATGTGTGCTAACTCTACTAAAGACAAAGTACCCAGACCAATGGGGGATGCACGAATGAATCAGAGATTGACACTGCTCTCAAGGATCTTGAGGTCTATTGGAAAACAAAGCACATCTCTATGCACATGTTATTAGTTCTGGAGAAGGAAGAACTGACATCCAGCTGTAGAAAATCAAGGCTGGCCTTGAGTAGGAGATTGTATTTAAGCTGAAAGTTGAAAGATAGGTATTTTGGTATTTTCTATTTCATTCAATGTTCTCTTTGTCCTGCTTTGTTAGATGAACTTGACATCTGACTGCTTAACTAACCGCCCTTTCAAAGCATGTTGGCACTGCACTTGGTTTTGAATGTTTCTCTTGTTCTGTGAATTTGGGCTGGTTTCATTTGGTCATTTGCAGGTAAGTGTGCCCATGGCCAAAAATGCACGCTTATGTATGAGACATAGTAATACAGATTTTAGACAATAAATTAGTTTGTTTAACTGAAATAAAATCTTCCATGTAACTGCTTTTGTAATTGAGCATATTTTAGCATTAGCATACAAATTAGCCCATAGACCTAGGCAAATAAAAATGCTAATAAAATGTAAAGATAGAATAGAACATTAATACTGAATTTGGTTAGATTATTAATGTTAGACTACATTACATATATCATTTCCATAATACCAGTAAATATGGACATTTTTGTCCAAACATGAAAGATTTCGTTGACCAGAATTTTTAAAATTCAAGATAATTTTTATTATATAATCTGTGGGAAGAAAAACAGGATGAATGTTCTTCTATTCTGCAGGGAAGGCAAATACTTGTTTTATCTGTATACTCTACTTCGCCCCGATCCTCTGCCACCATCAATACTTGAGAATAACTTCATCTCAATAATGATTTGATTTACTATTACTAGAGATTTAAGTTTTTATGAAAGAAACAAGTGAGAGTATAGAAATAAATAAAATCGAACACTTCTCCCTACACGTGCCTTGCTTTGGCACCAAGCCATGCACAACTCCAGGAGCACGATCCACATGGACGCTGATGTGAGTGACGGTCCCAGAGCTGTCAGCACACAAACTGTACCACCATACAGGCACCTCTGATGGTACAGAGGAGTAAGCGAGCATGGGTCATTTCAGAAAAATTGGCAATTTATACCTGTCATTCTGAAGTTTTGGAAGTAGAAGGGTTTATTTAACTCTCATTAGGAGCACTCTGCGCAATATCATAAAACAAAACCAATTCCCCACCTTGTCAGAAGAAATATATACTAGAAGCAAATCAATGCAGTCTCTTTGTGGAGGACACTGTGGATTGCTTACCTAAAAGCCCAGTCTTCCCTTCTTCGTATTTGAAAAGAGACACACAAGGCCCCCCCCCCCCCCCCAAGTTCAGATATCGTGCAGCTGTGTGGTTCGTAAAACGCTGGATCTCGTTTTGAGCACCAGAGGGTGAAACTGGATAAGGGTATTTCATTAGTCTTTGTACCTTCGGTGTAGGAAAGGGCATTTGGGCCATTTTGCCCAATAAGCTGGAGGGAAAGACTTGCTTGGAGCCTTTGGGGAAAGGTTTCCTTGATTTCTGAAAAAGAGGTGGGGAAAGGAGAAAACCACTTCCCCCCTTTCCGCCTTTAGACATTACGATACTTGTGTTGGCATCTCTACAACCATCTTGGGACCTAACTCCTGTGGTATGCAGCATTTTGAAACATATCTATGTTTAACTTATGGATGGTTAGAAGTAGCTCGAAGAAACCTTGGAGATCATCAAATTCAACTGTATCATTTCTTTTTGTTAAACCAGTTTCCATATTGTTTGACTTATTAATACTCCCCAGTAGAAATCATAACTACTATTATGCAACTATTAAGTTTAGGAAGCAGTGATAAACATAGATAAAATTTGATTATTTGGTTAGGTGCCATTTTACAGATAGACACTTGTAATGTGACTCTTTTAATTATGCAGTAATTCCAGAATAGTATCCTACCAGAATTAATTCACTGGCATTGGCAGCTTATTTCTAGAAGTTTTTAAAAATGGAACCTAGGCTTACTAAGATGGGTGAATTTAATACTTAGAGAGTTACAAAGGTGATGAACAATGTTTTTTGCCTTGTCATAAATATAACTAGCACAAACTAATTTATTGAATGTTTGCTTTTATGCTAGACCATATGTTAAGTGCTTCCTCGACTCAAATAGCTCCATTCAGTTCTCACAACAACTTAGCTAAGATTGTTATTATACCCCTTTCATGGATGAGGAAATGGAGTTTAGGTAAGGTTAAATAGTTTTCTCAAGATTACAAAGCTAGTAGTAGAAAAACTGGGATTTGCAGTCTGACTCCAGAGCTCAAGATCCTAATCACTGCAGTTTTCTGCCCAAGAGTCAAGATAATTTCTTGGTTGAGGCACGTGGCACACACTATTGGGTGCCTACTTGACACCTATTCTTTCTCCTCTCAAACAGGAACCCCTATTTTGTTTGGGGTGACTCATGATCAACTTAATGAACTGTGGCAATCTCATTTTCTTTTTGTCACTGGGCTGCAGTGGGCATGTGACCGTTTTCTGGCCAATAAGGGAGATTCTACTGGTTGGGGTGGGGGTTACAGTCTGGGAAAGGTTATTCTCCTTCATAAAAATGGGAGCAGCACTGCCTTCCCTTCCTGCTTGTACAGTGACCTCTGAGGATGTCCTATCTGGAGCTGTGGCAGCCACATTGCAATCAAGAGGTGATAAGCTGGAGATAGAAGCCAACATGCATATGATGATAGCAGGCACAAAAAGAACTTGGGTCCCTAGTGACATGATTGTGGTGCTGAACTAACCCTGGGACTACTTAACATCTGAACCTTGTGTTAAAGATAGAATTTATGACCTTATACTTTAAGCTATTAGATATTTTGTTCCTTGTGGCCAAAAGTATCCTAACGGATACAATCTGGGCAGGAAAAGACATTTTCTCAAGAGGTGCTGTGAAAGCAGATGATGTGGAGGTTATCAAGATCTCATCCAGGAATCTGTTAGTGTAGGTAATACTTAAGAAAAAAATACTCCAGCTTTGTCTCAGATCTGGGTAAATCTGAGCAATCCACATGTCTGTCCTGGATTTTTCCCCCTTTTCTCTCCAGATGCAGGGTTTCCTCTTCTCTGTGTGACTGACTGAGATAGACTGCAGCAAAGGGTTCTCTTGCCCTCTGGCTTCTGGCTGGATTTGGCCACTGGGATGTACCAGCAGGAGACTGGAAGAGGGAGGTGAGTGAGCTATAAATCCCCCAGCTTTCTCCTTGGGCAATTACTTAGGCTGACTGCATCCCTTGACTGAAGTTCACAGGCTCCTGTCTGGCTGCCTTTTTGGTGCTTAATTTTGGTTCCTTCCCCTTCTAAAGACCTAGGAGCTTGTAGCCCTAGGGTTCCACACTGCCGTTGTGGTTTCCCACAGCCTGCCCACATCTTGGTAAAGTACCATTTGTCTCCTGTTAGGCTCTGACTGATACAATGGTGTGAACAAAATCACTGCAGTGGTTGAAACTTGGTCCCCTCTATCTGATACATGATGAGATTCTGTGGAGTTATTCATAGTGTAAATAAGGGCTTTCCTCAACCATTAAAGGGAGACAGGAGACTATATAATTAGGAGTCACTCTGCAAAAGTAAAACAAAGTATTATAGCTCAAGAAAAGTTTCTACTTGGAGGACAAGAAATCAAAGAAGGCTACCTGGAAGAGATGGCATTTGGACTGAGGATGGTAAGATTTTTAAAAGACAAAAAGACTGGGAGAGCGTGAGTCAAGTGAGGGAAGACAGAATGCTCAGGAGTTTCTTGAAAAATTAGAGCTGGAAGGGACCTAAGATGTTCTTTATTCAATGTTAGTCCTCCCTCCACCTCCTTCACGGATGAATACACTTGAAGCTGAGATTTGGCCAAGGTCAAACAACAAGTAAGTAGCATGCAGGTCTGCTAGTTCCTGGGCTAGTTCTAATCCTACCTTCTACTTCCACATCACCCTACCTCATCTCAGGCAGTCTGTGAACTTGTCGGTCTCTCCCACTAGACTATGACCTCCTTGATGGATGTTTTCTTCATCTTTGAAACCCAGTACCTAGCACAATTTCTGACATAAAGTCATCGTTAAGATCACCAGCTACCAAAAGGTAAGCACCCACCTTCTGTGAGGTACTGTGCAGATATTTTATATGTACCTCATGAAATCTTCACAACTGCTTGGAGGGGTGTAATTATCTCCACTTTTCAGCCCAAGATGCAGCGGCTCAGAGAGGTTGTCTAATTTGCCCCAGGTCGCACAGCAGTATGCAGGACTCTATCTTACCTTCCATCATGGGCGTCCAATAACATTTGCTGAATGAGTGAATGAACGAACAAGAGTGCAACCGATCGGTTGTGACAGGCCACCCTGGAGAGCCCGCCACCTCGGGCAGTAGACTCGGCTCGTCGTCTCCCCTCTAAAGTACACCCTCTCTTGGAAGCGCCGCGTGCAGGCTCCGGGGCTCCACCCCCTACTCCGTCCGGCTCTCCAGCCACGCCTCCACCTCGGAGTTCTCTTCGCTCTTCCGTGTCCGAGTTTTCGCTTGGCTCCAGCCGCCGTAAGGAGGGCCTCTCTCGGCCCTGCGATGTGTGGCCAGTTCCATTCCCCTGCCCCTCCCTTCGGCCTCCCTCACTCTTCAAACTTCTTTTTTCCACCCTCTTTAAACTTCACTCATCCTAGTTGCCCGCCTTCTCCACTCCCACCGACCAATAGGTGGTCCTCACTCTCGCTTAGGATCCGCCCCCTACCCGCTGGGGGCCAATCCCCGGCGAGGGAGACGAGTGCTGGGGCTCGTTCCCAAGCGCCTGGCCTGTGACGGCAGCGCGCCGGGCGCCGCGCGGCAGGAGGGGGCGGGGCTCTGGCTGAGGGATGGGCGAGGGCGGGGGGAAGGGAAGAGGGAGGTGGAGGAGGTTGCGGCGGGTTTGAAAGCGGCAGTTTCCTGGCAGCTTGGGCAGGCGTTGGTCTCCGCGCTCCAGCTCCGCAGCGGCCACGATCGATCCTGCGACGGGTCTACGCGCGCTTCTGCGCGCCCCCGACGGATTTTTCCCGTTCCGGCTCTTCCCTGTTCACCTCCCCGCCCCCCTGTTTCTGTCTTTCCCGCCGCTCCGGCGCGGAGCCCGGGGGCCAGCCGGCGGCCGTGACCCCGCCCGAAACCCCTCTGGAGCTGCCCGGGGACAGTTCCCCTCCCTTTTCTTCAGCCTAGCCCGGGGTGGTCCTCGCGGAGCCCGTCAGCCCCGGGGAGCGCAGCCGGGAGGGGCGTCCGAGGGGCGTCTCGGGGCTTGGAGCAGCCCAGCCCCAGCAGGCTGCGGCCGGGGGTGGGGGCGCCGGAGCGTCGAGGCCCCCTCGCCGGGCTGCACGGGCCGCCGGGCCCCCAGGCTGAGAGGGGGCCGGAGCGGCGCCCCCGCCGCCCGCGCGGGGTCTCCCCCATGGTGCAGCGGGGTTCGGGATGTCGAAGACGCTGAAGAAGAAGAAGCACTGGCTCAGCAAGGTGCAGGAGTGCGCTGTGTCCTGGGCCGGGCCCCCGGGCGACTTGGGCGCCGAGATCCGGGGCGGCGCGGAGCGGGGCGAGTTCCCTTACCTGGGGCGGCTCCGGGAGGAGCCCGGCGGGGGCACCTGCTGCGTAGTCTCGGGCAAGGCGCCCAGCCCTGGGGATGTGCTGCTGGAGGTGAACGGGACGCCTGTCAGCGGGCTCACCAACCGGGACACTCTGGCTGTCATCCGCCACTTCCGAGAGCCCATCCGTCTCAAGACTGTGAAGCCAGGTACGCCAGCCCTGCCTTTCTGTTTCGGGGCTTGGAGGGGGAAGTCGGGGTGGGCGTCCTGGAAGCGGCGGCCACTCCTCATCGCTTATCGCCCTGGGTAATCTTAGACTTCCAGGGTGCGCCGGACTCCCTGGCGAGGGGGAGGGGTGGCGGTGGTGATTCCCATTTTGCTGATAGGAAAACTGAGCTCTGGTTTGGCGGGGCTGCTCTGCAAGCTGTCATAGTATTGCAACCAGAAGCTGGGTTTCCTAGATTTGTAGCCCCGTCCTACCGAGAGTTTCTGACCAGAGAGAAAAAAAAACAAAAACAAACAAACAAAAAACCCAGCCTTTTCAGCTGCTCCCCTGTGTGGAAAAGGTCCTCACGATTCTTTGGAACAGTCTTACGCATTTTCTAATAGGGAAAGAGGTTTTGTACTACTGAGGCACTTGGTGCCAAGGTTACCACCTAGTGTACCTAGAAGGGCTTAGCTGCTTCGGTGTTGCTTACACACTAGCAACACCTTGGAGCTGACAGCCTAACTCCGTTCAGGTGGTTTCAGCTGTCTGGGTACAGACGCTGTACAATATATGTGGCCGAGTAGTGTGTTCTTCCCGGGAGCTGTTAGTCTGAGCTTCGGAAGAAGACCTAGGTGTCTCTTCGGAGTAAAATCTTTTCTAAATCTTTGATTTTACACACATTTTGTAGAAGTGGTGGTGGGTAAAACGGACCTCCGTTGCCCTGGTGTCTTTTATGCAAGTCAGATCTACTGCAAAGCACGTTACACTTATGTTTCAGAGCATTGATCAGATTGCGTACAGTGAAATCTGATAGTATGCAATGGTTCTTATGTATTTGTTATCTACAGCATTGTTGGTCGGTTCAGCGTTGGTTTGAAGGTGGCTCTGTTTTCTGAGATGCTTGTAGGAGAGGGAATTATCACAACGTTATTAGAAATCAAACTAGTTTCGCTCAGTGTGCTCTACTGAATATATAGTGCATCAAAATATAATGGGCTGTTTAATTGTGACTTGGGCTGGAGCAATCAGTCCAGACCTTCGCTGCAAAATGCTAGAAAATTCGGGAGAAAAATTTAACATGTTCTCTCCCTCACAGTGTTTTTTTCTTTCTCAGCAGCTCACTTTGGAAATTTCTCTTTCGTAGTCCTTGGGCTTAATGGGGACTGATGGTTTGTGGTGCAGTATACATATGTGTGAGTATTGTGGGTGTATACACACGCACTCACATGTCTCTGCAAATCTGAAATTAAGATTTTCTTCATGCGGTCTGTTTCATCATATTCATTTTAAGCTTACAGTTTATGTAAGGTTTTCTTTTTTATTGCTAATTTAAAAAACTTTGGCAGACTTTAAACATCTTTTTCTGTATAGTTTTGCAAATTAAGAAATTCTTAACTCAAACTTTCAGAGCCATATGTGAAAGGTGGAGGAAAGGTTTTGGGGGCTGTAATTTAGTGAGTCAGGCACTGTCTGTAATATGCAAAAAACCATATAATACACGGTTTACTAGTGTAGGTGCCATTTAGTTCAAATCCCCTGAGTCAGGGAATAATGAGAACATCTGCATCATTGTGTTTTGTTTTGATTAGTTGGGGGCATAAATGAGAATGTAACTGTTATTTTCAAAAATAGTTTAAGATTTAATAGGTTGAGGAAGTCAATATAGTCTCAAAGTATTGTAATTCTTTTAGAAGACTGGGAAGATCTTTAATATTAGTCTGATCTGCATGTTATATATTTTCTCAACGTTTATAGCAAATTTAAGAAAATAATTCGAAGTTTAGAGTGTATTCAGTAATATAGATTAGCTGTGTTGAATAAACATCATATGCCCCAGAATGTAGTTGACATTTCTGTAGTAATAAAATTTTTCCCTCTTGACAAGTGCATGTACTTTCCTACTTTAAATGTTTAGCCAAAAAAGGGAATAATTTATATTAATGGGTTTAGCATATTTTCTGATCATTAATAATAAAAGTTCTGAATACTACACTTATTTTTTTTAAAGATATGCTCTGCTTCAGTAATTTCTAAAGGATACCACTATGTGTCCTCTAAGATTATTATTCTCGTTTCTAAGTAAGTTGTAATTTAAAAATCTTAATTTCTCAAAGAATAGTATTCTTAGTTTCTTAATAGCCTCATGTTAAGCATTCCATGAAATGGCTTTCTTAAATGGCTTTGCTTAAACAACATTTGTTACAAAATAGCAGGATTTTTGCAGGTTAAGCCCAAGACTTCAAATATTAGAAATTAAGGAACTAGAAGAGGTTATTCCTAGAACTCTGGGTGTGATTAAAAACAGCATAAATATCATCTCTGGAGGAGCCAAGGATTCCATACTGTTAGGCTTAAATTTGAAAAGTATGAAAGTACAAAGTAAGGAAATTTAAAAAGGAATTTGCTCTGCACGTTCCTTTTTTTAATTTTATCTAAACTTTGTGAGCGAAATGGATTTTCCATTTTAATAAGGAATTGCAAAGTGTACTTTTCACTGTCTCTTGTCTTGATTAGTAACTCTTTGTAAAACTATATTCATAACATTTAGAAACTAGTACAGTGCAAGAGTATATTTAACATTTCTGTAGGATGTAATATTAGTGTGGAATGATCTCGCATCATTGTCTTCTGACAAAGTCCATGGCAAAAGGATGAGTATGGATCCTTCCTAGCTTTCTCCTTTTTTGTCTAGTGCATGCTAAGGGGAGCTCAGCCAAAGCCAGCATCAACACCTGGATGACTTAAGGAAGGTTCTCTCTGGCAGTGACTGTCTTCAGTTTTGATTTGAGCTTTAGTATTTTTTTTTCTTACTTGCAAATTCCATTAAAGATTATAACAACAACAACAATATCTCTTTAAAATATGGTTCCTAATCCTGAGCTTTTCTTGAGAGAATTAGGGAATTTCTTACTGGAATCTTATTCTTACTTAGTATTCACATAGTACGTAGCAGTCAGTACATTCCTGCTTCAAGGACAGTCTTTAATTCTACTTAGTCCTTGGCGCAACTGATCACCTGTTTCTTAAGTACAACCCTGCCTTTTTTCTTCCTTCCTTCCTTCCATTCTTTTTCTTTTTCTTTTTCTATTTGTTTTTCTTTTTCTTCTTTCTTTTCTTATCTGCAGAGAGAAAAGTTTTCAATTGAATTTGATCTTTGTAGTTTCACAGTAGTAAAGGAAGTTAAACTTTGGACCTCTGATGAAATTGTTTCACGATCTAGTCCTGTGACCTGGATTAGTTTCTTTGATTTTATTTCGGAGCATATTTTTAAGCAATTTCTTTTCTGGTTAATGATAGAAGTAGTTAATTTTGTTCTAAAATTCTCCGGACTATGAATGTACAGACTTTTATGGAATATTCACGTCTTCATATACTTTTAAACACGTATATCAGTGGTTGCAAATTATGTGGATTGTATTCCAGAGATTTAAGTATTGATACGTTAAGAACATGAAACCATTGGCTCCTGCGTTATTATGCACAGTGCTTTCAACTACCTTAAGTCTGCTATTGTATCTAAAGATGAAAATCATGAGGAACAATGTTATTGTTTAAACAAAAACTAATTTGAAATAGATCTTGTTTAATGCCAGTTAATCATTGGTCAAAGTTTGCCACTGACTCTTTGAGACATCTGACTTATAGAAGAATTTTGTTAAAATGAGCACATTCCTAGAAATCCATTCCCCATTGGTGAAGAAACATTACTAGAAGCTTTTAAGTAAGGGTGTTTATGTTATGCCAATAATGAATAACTTTACCCCTTTCTTTTAACTTTTGGGTCTTTTTGTCTTTTTGGTTTAATGGGTAATTTGGAACTTGTGCGTTTTGTTTAAGTGGTTGTCATATTTGAAGAAGGGAAGGGTGAGAGAAATCAGAGTTTAATTGATAGCCTCCTAGGTTTCCAATACAAAAAATTTCTTTTTTAACAATAGAAACCTAGAGATGGGGTGAGGCAGCCTCTTTGTTAGGGAAAACCCGTTAAATTTTGATAAACCTTAAATTGGAAACTTTCCTGTCCTCTTAAAATTTGGTAGCAATTTTTTGGGTCTAAAATTGGTCTCAAGTAACTCAAGTAACTTCAGGTTCTGGACTCTATTCATTGAAACCTTCAGTTCATGTGAATAATGGGTTTATGTCATAGAGGCAGAAGAAACACTTAATAATTGGCCCTTTTCAGTTTTCAGATCATTTTTATTTTATTCAGCTGAATGCTGAAACTGATTTTCATGGAACATAACTGTGTTCCTGGGGAATATAAATTGTCTTTCCTCTGAGATCCTGGGATGTACTTTATAAAACCTCTCATAAGAGACAAATTTCAGTGTGTGTATGTGTGTGTATGTTTCTTGGTCTCTAATTTATGTAAACTGATGGTAAAACAAATCTACATTTGCTCCAGTATCTGACTTGTGAAGTCAGTGCATAATCTTCTCAGGTGAATAGTTTCATATAATATCTTTACTATATAACCTCTAAGTGCTTTATAAATTTTGTGAGCACTTAGGAGTTTGGGGAGTGTCTTTTAGGAGAATTTCATTTTTATGAACCACTTCAGTATTAGGTACCAATTCCAAACTCTGCCAATTCCTAAGTCAGTTTTTGGTTGTTTGTGATTTGACAGAGGATAAATGTTTTGGTATTGAAGACTAGAACTGTGACCCTTTTAATTAATTAAGCACTTTTGTTTCCCCTCTGAATTTTTGAGGAATAATTTCCTTGCAGTACTACATTTTGGCAGAGAGAATGAATGCCTTTTATTTAAAACTGCTCCTAAGGGTAAGATTTTCAGTGGCTCAGAGGCTAGTGTTATGAGAGATGTGTTTGTCAGGAAGACTCTTGCTCTTCTCCTTGAAAGAATATTATTTAGAATGTTTCCCCCAAAAGGTGGCTTATTTTACTTTATAAAGAGAAAGCAAAAAGTTTGATTACTGGCACACATTCATTCCCTCAACAGCCATTTGGTGGTGTAGCCATGTGAGCTAGCACTGGCAATATAAA